ACTGAGGGAGAGATATGGGGGGGGAACTGAGTGGGAGAGATGGGACGGAAACTGAGGGAGAGATGGGGGGAAACTGAGGGGGAGAGTTATGGGGGGGAACTGAGGGAGGTATAGGGGGAGAAAATGGAGTGTGGGACAGGGGGAGAGAGGGGACTACATACACACAGCACCCCTGCCCTACATATATCACCCCACACAAAGACACCCACACATCACCCTACCCACACATCACATCACCCCACCCACACACACACACACAAACACATACAATGTACCCCTCAATGCAGTGTGTGTAGACTCAGCAGTCTGTCTGTGTGTGTAGACTCAGCAGTCTGTCTGTGTGTGTACACTCAGCAGTCTGTCTGTGTGTGTACACTCAGCAATCTGTGTGTGTGTGTACACTCAGCAGTCTGTGTGTGTGTACACTCAGCAGTCTGTGTGTGTGTGTTTAGCAGTCTGTGTGTGTATTCAGCAGTCTGCTAAATACAGACAGACTGCTAAGTACATAGACAGACTAAGTACACAGACAGACTACTAAGTACACACAGACAGACTGCTAAATACACACACAGAGATGTTAATTAGTTCGGACAACTGTATGAGTTGTTTTTTCGAAACTTAAACCTCAGTATTCAGGTTTAAATGCCGTTTTGGCACTTTGAGGGAAAAAAAATTGGCATGTATTACGGTTTGGGCACTCGAGCTCAAAAAGGTTCGCCATCACTGACCTAGACACTATTTTGTGAAGTTACAGTGCTGTAAAAGAGATGTGACAAGTTCAGGTTTTTAAGTGTGAATTTTCATGGAGGGTTTTGATGGGTTCATAACCCACTTTGGAGCACTTGAATAGGTTACATATTCCAGCTACACCATAAAGGCTTACTATTTCTTAAAGAAGACATCCCAGGGTATTTCAAAAGGTATATTTTGAACATTAGTGAGGGATAATATTTCCACTAGCTAGTACCAAGTGCATTTTTCTGCCTTTTTGACACACAAAGTGAGTTTGCACAGTGTATTTTGCAAACCTTATGCGTGCTACGACTGTATAATACTTCATATGTTTCTCAGCTATGTCGTCTGAGTACAGCAATACCCCCATGTCTACCTTTGCCAGGTATATGTGGACATTGAAGGGGCACTTTTGAGACACCGTCATTCCAGTTTTTTTCAAACTTTGAATTTTTATGCTGTGTCCATGTCCCATTTTAGAGTATTTTAGCAGGCTATATAATCCAAATACCCCATAAAGGCATACCATTTATTAAAGAAGACATCCCAGAGTATTTCAAAAGGCATACTTTGAACCTTGGCATGGGTTCACTTTTCTGCTAGCTTGTACCAAGTGTAGTGGTAATAAGCGTTTTTTTCTGCCTTTTTGACACACAAAGTGAGTTTGCACAGTATATTTTGCAAACCTTATGTGTGCTACGACTGTATAATACTATATATGTTGCTCAGCTATGTTCTCTGAGTACAACAATACCCCCGTATGTACCTTTGCCAGGTAAATGTGGATGTTGAAGGGGCACATTTGAGACGCAGCCATTCAGTTTTTTCTAACTTTGAAGTTTTACGCTGTGTCCATGTTCCATTTTGGAGTAGTTTAGCTTGTTGGTTATTCAAACTTCCCGACAAACACATATTTATTAAAGAATACACCCCGTGGTAATTCAAAAGGCATATTTTGAACCTTAGCGTGGGATCATTTTTTCTCTAGTTTGTTCCAGGTGTAGTCGTAATGAGTATTTTTAAATGTATTTTTTTACTTTTTTTTTTTACTTTTCTTACTTTTTAAAACACGTTTTGAAACTTTATTTTGCTTATTAAATTTTTTAAACTTTCTTAAAACTTTTTTTACACATTTAACATTTTTATAAACTTTTTTTTTTTTACTGTTACCCCTAACTAGCAGGAAGCAGTACTAACAGTAAATTCCCCAATTTCCCATAACTCCCACCCACCCCAGCTAGCAAAATATATAATGTATTTTGATCACTGTAGGTAGTGATCAACTGGCAGGGAAGGGGTTATTTTTTGTTAGAACTAGGTAAACTGGGGTGGGATTTTTACTTTTTTTATTTTTTATCGTTATTAAAACATTTATTTTTTATTTTAAAACTTTCTTTTAACGTTATGTCCTAGCTAGCCTGACACCAAATTCCCCAATTCCCCACTAACTTCATTACCTTCAGGCTTTTTGCTGTAAACTGAGAAAATGCAGTGTTTACATTGCATCCTAGTGATAACTTCACTGGCCACTCCTTAGATGGCTGTCAGAGATCCTTCCTGGGTCATGGTTGCCTAAAATGCATCCAAACATTCAGTGTCTCAACCCTCTGCATGCAGACACTGAACTTTCCTCATAGAGATGTAATGATTCAATTAATCTCTATGAGGAGATGATTATTGGCCAGGGCTGTGTTTGAATTGTACTGGTTCTGCCCCTGATCTGCCTTTTTGTCAGTCTCAGCCAATCCTATGTGGAAGCATTGTGATTGGATCAGGCTACCACTTCTGCTGATGTCAGCAGGCAGTGGGCAGGTCTAAAGGAAACCGGGACAAAGTAAGCAGCTGCAGGCTTGAATACAAGTAAAATTGTACTATATTTATGGAGGCATGAGGGGACCAGGGTGGCTAGATGGTGGTTTTAACCCTATAGGGTCAGGAATACATGCTTGTGTTCCTGACCCTTTAGTGCTCCTTTAAGATTAAGAAACAGTAACTCGCTGGAATAAGTGTATACTCTTTTTTTTTTATGCATTAAGGCTTATATTTGCTTTATGGGGGAGGGATATATCAGTACTGTGCATGTTCCAAGTTTTTAATTTTAGATTTTTATCTGTTTACTAGTTGTTAGGTTAGATATTTTATATATATATATATATATATTTTTTTTTTTATTATTATTTTTTTTTTTTAGTTTTGCAGTGCATAATTATAATACAAACAAACTTGGGGTGCCCCAACAGCAATCCTCAAGCATATCGTCATGTATAACATTTTGGGTAAATGTGAAAATATGCAAATTGTTTATATTATATAAACAACATATTCAAGTTATGCTTCCATGGCAAGTCGTAAATGAGAGATTACACTAACATGTCAGTCAAGTAACTAGTAAGGAGTAATCAAAGTGGATTGTACTGGGGAAGCAATAGCACAGCTAAATATCAATAAGAGTGTTAATGAGAGGATCTTGAGAGCTTACATGTCTAAGTGATAAATAGGAGACTGAGGGTAGTAGTTGTGAGAGTTAAAGAGACATGAGCTTTCCAGGTCTGAAAATGTAAGACCACTAGATCACATTGCTCTATAGAGGCACCATGCTGTATTATAATAAACCCAGTAAGTGAGAAAACCTTCAGGCAGGCAAGAGTCAGAAAGGAAAACATATATAAATGTAAAGATAAGTAGTAAAACAAATGGTTAAGCATTATAGGTCATCTCTATTATCAAGTGTGTCTCATTGCGTTGCATCCACCATCACCAGGAGGATTCTCAAGCTGTGGGCCCAGTATTGTGGTCATCCAATTCCCATCCACAGCAAATGTGGAGCATGTGTAGGAAAGTCCAGGTAAGCAAACTCTGAAGCGCCGCAGATTTTGGCTCTTCTTCAGCCCCAGACCTGTTGTAGAGCCAGCATCCTCAGTCCACGGACAAAGTCTTTCCCCCGTCTAGGGAAAATAGAGGGTCGAGATGGTTGGCGCCAATATCGGCAGCTGATCCTCCGTTTCTGTGGGTGATGCTTGGAGTTAAAACCTCAAAGGGCTCTTGGGCCGGGTAGGTGAGCAGCAGAGTGTGTAGATGCTTTTAGGGAGTTATGGCCTAGTGAAGAC